AATTGTTAAATTTGATTGGGTAATTTAGATGATCTTCAGCACGTGATCGGACATTTTTCGCCATGGCTAGGGTACTCCGGGATCTGCGCGTGACGTGTGGAATTTTTAGAGAAACCGCGATTTACCCATCTCTACAAAGAAGTAATCTACATGCTACACCTGATCTTAAATTTTAATTGGTTACAATATCCTAGCATTATAGTGCTATAGCACTATAAATTAAATCTCTTACAAAAATAACACAAAATTTTCGAACATTAAAATGCCGAGACACAGGAGGCACACAAGGTCAGATAATCTTACACCACAGGAAAATCTCGCAAGATTTCTAAACTCCCACATAGAATTTCTTCGAAGATAAAGAAACCGTACCGAGAGGTTTTTTAGAAATAATAATATTGGAGGAAGAAACCTTGAAGAAATGTTGTAAGTATTGCAGATCATGATTGATGAACGAAGTTCTTTGTTGCAAGTGATAAGAAATCATGAAATAAGCCAGACAAATACCAGAAGGATCATGAATCAACTCATTACTGAACGTAATGAACTTACGAATCGTATTCGCGCATTAAATCAAGTCAACGCGTTGAATCTGTTTTTAATGTTCGAGGTATAAAAACAAATTTTACTATTCGCCATAGACATATTCATAAACTATTTTTTATTAAATCTAGGTTTTACTTGTTGAAATAATTTTGTCCTCAGTATTATTATTAAAATAATCATTAAAAAAATTTTTTTTTTTTATTTATCTGAGTTTTCAAATAAAAATGCAGATTAGTATAACATACAAAAAATATAGGTTTATCTCGATTAAGTTCATCATACTGTTAATGATAACTCATTAAATGATTGCTTCTCATGGATTAATTGATTAAAGAACACGGATCATAATCGATTACCAAAATTGGTTATTGATTTTCTCATGATAAAATGCATGTATCGATTGTTTTATTTGTACAAATCATATCGTGGTGATTTGCGGTTTTCGTCATATGTACAGGTTTAGCATGATATCAAAATGTTAATATTAAAGAAGATAGGATGTATGGTGGTGCAGATAGTCGAAGGACAAATAAATTTTTAGGATCATATATAACATGACATGAACAGAAATATTCAAAGCAAACGTTCGTTTTGTCAAAGTTGTTTATATTGTCAAAAAATTTATCTAATAAAAAAAATTTTCAAATTATTCATCATCTTGTTAATTCTGAATGTTAGTCTTTATAGTAGAGTTTTAAAGTATTTTGCAAAATTCTTTAAAACTTGTTTATGTTAGGGTTAGGGTCAAGTTGAGGAATTAGAAGGGAGTAGTTTATACAGTAAAATTGCTCAACAAAAACTTTGTTTAGAGCACAAAGGAAATTACTTTTGCTGATTTTTGAGAAATAATTTTTGATAAAATAAAGGTTAGTTTTAAATTTTCTTGATCGCGTTTACAGCAAAGATAGTGCCTGATCAAAAGTGAATCCCTCTCGCCTGTGATCAATCACAAATTAAATTATTTATGTTGGATTCAATTGTAATATATGTGTAACATTAACGGTCTGTGTTAAGTTCCACCTGATCTTAAAATCTGATTCGTAGTTTAGGAAATCTGCGCCATAAGCCCGGCACACATTCAAGCACGACGGTTATGTAATTGCATTGCAGATTTAAAATATCACTTCGTTTCTCATAGGAAAAAAATCGGAAAATATTAAAAAAGAAGTTGATTGGAAATATGTTGAGGGATTGTTCGAACACGTTTATCATATTATTGAAGATACAAAGAATCCAAAATTGGGATACAATAACGAAAAGGAACGTAAGGCATGGATTAAGAATAAATTACATCTCTCAATAAATAATGATTTTAAAAGTTCAACGAAAGTTCGGCACAAACAGGTATTGATAATACATTATTACTATTCAATATTGAATAATAAAGACTTTTTTTAATAGGTGTACGATCACATATATGATTTAATATTCATTTTCAAAGAAAAGGGTATAGAAAAGGAGATATAGTTTTTCATATTAAACAAAATTAAAATTACATACAAGTTTCTTTACGAAGCTAATTATAAAAGAAAAATGAACGTGTAAAATATTTACGATGGTTTTATTAACCATTTAATTGAAAATGTAAAACATATGAATGATATTACAAAAAAATAAAATAATAAAAACATTCAAGTTTTCTCTAATAAAATCGACAATACTTTTGAATTTATGAACCAAAATTTTTAAAATAAAATACGTTTGTTTCATCATTCCCTCCAGAACAACTCCCAAGACGAAATTAAAAATCCTCGGTACCTCTCCAATTATGAACCAAAAAAATCCATAACATAACACCACGTTTTCGGATGATACTTCTATCTCTCGATTCGGTTTTATTAACATCTTGGTGAAATACAAGGTAGCATTGATCATATTTTTTATGTAGGCAAAGCATATCTTCATGAACTCGATAGTTTCAAATTTATCATTAGATTTATAGTTTAAAAAAAACAAATCGGTAAGTTTATATTTTATTGAATAAAAATCAAACTTTAGTTACCTAATTTAAGTTTAGACATGAACATCGCGATCATGAATAAAAACATCGTTACAGTTATGATAAATTTAAAAAATATAATGATTATTCTCAATTTTGACTTTTTTTCGATTATCACATTCTCTTTTTATTTACGTAATTTGACGTAACAGTATAAAAAATCTTGTTTAACGAAAAAATTACATACTTACGGGAATATGGCATCGATTTGCACCCAGAAAATGTGTACCAGGCTTCATAGGCAGAAGTTTGTCTGATTGGCTAATAAATTCAATTTAATTTTACATTATTTATACAGTTAGAGTACTTTTTTAAAAAATGAAAACCAACCATAATAGTAATAAAATATATATATATATAAGGTTTCATTAGAGCTGTAGGACTCCATAACCAAAAATATGATCAAATTCTCGTCCGTTTAAAAAAGTTAGTATAGTAATACCTTCTCAAAACCCGATAAAATCAACTTGTTACTAAGCTAATTCTTTTAAACGGACGAGAATTAGATCTTATTTTTGGCTATGGAGTCCT